TCCCCCCAGGGTCTAGGGTCTCTCCCTAGTGCAGAGGAGGGCACTTTGGTGGCTACAGAGACCTGGTCATTCAGCCCCATGGGGTCAGTTCCCCAGCTCTCTGGCAGGGGAAGCCAGGTGGCTGCTCCTTTGCAGGTGCTTTCCTTCGTGCATAACTGCATTTAAGTCTTATTTTTCTCACCTTTGCAAAAATAATTCAAACAGGTTCTGATGCAACTCCTATTGGGGATGCCAGGCCATTAGCAAAATAGTCTAACCTGAAATATGCTCATTCCTGCTAGCTTCCCTGGAAAAGCAGTATGCAAGAGGATTGATCATGAACAAATTCTGTTTATTTAAAAACTTCTCACTGATTTGCCTGTCCAAGAGGGACATACTCCTTGTAGCTGGTAGTAGAATGTGAGCCAACCTCAACACATCAATTCTACAAAGGCTGAATTTCTCATCCATGCCACTGTGAACTAGATTGTTAAGGTTTATATGCTGCCAGGTACCACTGACCCCTTAAGGAGCTCACCAGATTGGTCATCATCATGAAACAAGATGCTTTTATGGGATCCTGGGGGTTTTTGTTGTTGTTTTGTTTGGGGGCGGGGGGAGGAATCCTGTTTGTTTTTTTTTAATCAAATGCTACATATGTGGTGCTGATAAGTAACAGGACATTAGAATAGGATATTTAAAATAAGGTGCTGATTGGGAAGTGGAGAAAATAGGGGCAAAACAGAATTAGAGGTTGGGTTGACCAGAAGAAGCTTCTCAAAAATGTTATTTGAACGTGGGTTGCTCACCAAAGAATGGGTCAGAAAACATCCTCAGTTTATACTTGTTTAGAGAAAAGCTGAAGCTTCCTCAGGCACCCCCATTCTGGTTTGTTAACGTGTAAATGATGGGTGTTCTTCCAGTTCCTACAGTAGGGAGGCTGTGGGGTGTGCTTCTCTGGTGCCCCACGAAGCAGGATAAGGTGGAGGATGTGATCCTGGCTGACTGTAATCCAGTTGTCCTCACTGCCAGCAGATCAGGCATGTGGCAAACAGATCCTGCTGCTGTGAAGTTTGACTCTAGGTTTAACTGCTCCTTAATCACTAATAGAGGTGGATTTTGATGCCATTTTACACTTAGTCGCTCTCTTCTGAGGATTAGACTTAAAACCCCTTCTTTCAACTATTAAGACTGGTCCTCACTCAAACCTCTGACAACAAGTAAAACTGGACTCTTGATCCAACTAAATTGTATCTCTACTCCCCTCTTTAAAATGGGTGTGAGGACGTATATCCGGGCTGGCTCTGTCCAGTTTTCACAGCATAGGAGCTAGGACATCTCTCAGCAGCAGGCAGCTCCGATTCTGATAACAGACCGCTCAGCTGCCATGTTTTGATTCTAGTCGGATCTGTTGATAATTTCAGTGCTTTAAGAATCTCAGATGAGCGGGGAGCCTGGGTGGCTCAGTCGGTTAAGCGTCTGCCTTCAGCTCAGGTCGTGATCCCAGGGTCCTGGGATCAAGCCCCACATCGGGCTCCCTGCTTGTCGGGGAGCCTGCTTCTCCCTCTCCTACTCCCTCCTGCTTATGTTCCCTCTCTCGCTGTGTCTCTCTCTGTCAAATAAATAAAATCTTTAAAAAAGAAAAAAAAGAATCTCAGATGAGAATATCTTCTATCAATCTTAAAAATCGCTTCAGTTGGATTGGGTTGTCTTCAGCTCCTAAGATTTATTTAATTTTCTTCCATCTCATTCAACCCCATCTAAGAAGTTGTACAAGTGGTTCTACATTATCAAGTTCCTGCTAGGCTTTTCTCAAGCTCTTTTCAAGTTCTCTGTCCTGTCTCGTCTTGCCTGCAGTTGGCAGAGAAAATATTATGGGGTGAGAAAGTGTACCCCAATATTCACTCATCCAGAAGTGATAGGAGGAACACACACACACACACCACACACACGCATACACATACACACACACACACACGAGTTCTTTGGAAAAGGGTATGTAAGGATCCCAAAAGAAGAGCTTCAGGGGCGCCTGGGTGGCTCAGATGGTTAAGCGTCTGCCTTCGGCTCAGGTCATGATCCCGGCGTCCTGGGATCGAGCCCCGCATCGGGCTTCCTGCTGAGCGGGGAGCCTGCTTCTCCCTCTCCCTCTCTCCCTGCTCATGCTCTCTCCCTCTCTCTCTCTCTCTGTATCTCTGTGTCTCAAATGAATAAATAAAAAAAAAAAAAGAGCTTCAGTTATATACCCATTTCAGTGCTTTGAATAAAGGCGTCTTACTGACTGGCCCTTCCCTTCATCTTACCAAGCTGAAGGCTTGTTCAATTGCTGTAATTGGTCTAAGAATGTATGACAATGCTTAGTACGAAGTATGCTTTGCCAAAAAGCTGCCTGTAGTGACCTAGTAATTCACAAGGAAGCTAGAACCACACAGAACTCTTCCCCACCCGCCCTCAGGAAGCCCAATGCCACCGCTTATGAAACCCTGATTTTCTACTTCCTTATAGCCTCCTTTAATTTCTTGACAAGTCCCTATGCCCTGTCTCAGTGTCTAGCTGACAGTTTAAATTCTGCTTTTTCTCGGAGGTGCTATTACTGGGGCTTTCATTTATTGAGACATTTTGTGTGTGCATGATGTCTTCAAGAACTGAATGGAGACACATCTATCTGGTTCTAAAACTCAGAATCTTAGATCATATTGAAACAGCAGTCCCCTCTATGTATGGTCTTTGCGAGGTTCACTTTCTACTAATGATTTGGACCATTTTTCTTCTGAGTTTTTAGTTTCATAAAGCAGGCATAATTTCCATCAATGTCCAAATTCCTTCCCTGGTCCTCTTAATCCAAGGTTCTGTAAGATAGGCTAAACTTATCTCACAGTTTTGTAACAAAACAACAACAACCAAAAATCAAGTAAAACAAAAACCCAGCTGAGACCAAGTTGGAAATGTACCAATGAGCATGCACCACACCTTCTCTAGGGCAATCTAGAAATCTACTGGATAGCAGTACCCCCCCCCCAAGGGAGGCTTCCAGACAAACTGTCGAGTTAATCGGGGGGCCAGTATCTGATCACTGCCAAAAATGAAGCAATAGAGAATGCCAGTTAAAGTATTGGATAAATTATTCCCCTTTGAAGCTTAACTTCATGATTTTTTTTAAATGCAAGCCTCTCTTTTCTACTTTATTCCATATTTGTTTAACTAACCAAGTAATCTGACATCAAATCAGCAAAAACTTAAAAAATAAATATCTAGACTGGTTATTTCCAAATAATTTTGGCAATTATATTTAGTTTAGTGCAGTATTGCCATATGTCGATTCTGCTTTAGAACATATCAAAATGTTTGGCAATTAGCTTTTATACACTGAATCCCAAGAGTGCTTCCAAGTTCTGGAAAATATTTTGTATTCCCTGAAGTAAGGAAAACACCTCCTACCCTATGTCTTTTAATCCTAATTTGCATTATTCACATTTCCTACCAATGCCTCTTTTTTGGATAAACTTTAGTCTAGCACTTATTAGAATCCTCAGGGATCACAAATCAATGGGACCCAAGTGAGGCCCTATTAAGTCCACTTATGAGTCATTTAACACTTTCATTAGAAAGAAGTCCTTGTTCTAGGTCTCTTTAGAAGCACAAAATAGATTTCTAAATTAGCAGAGCCTTATTTCCCTCCATGAACACATTAAGTGAAAACACATGTAACCCAATCTGGGTTGGGCTTGACATCCTAATGAAGCATAATTATGTATTGAGAAAGGTCTCAGAACAAGGACAGCTATAAAATGTGAGGAAACAATTGTAAGCCTAGAGAATGGGCTTTCAGGGCTCTAGCTAACTCCATGTTATCTTGAGCTAACCATTGATCTTGCTGCATCTAAGCACTGAGATCCTCCTAGGAGACCTTCCAGTTTATAAATCAGTCTTTTTAAGATTTCATGACAATCCTTGCAATATTAAGTCTACATAGCGGAACATCTTTCTATCATCAACATATATACAACAACAACATACAAGGACCTGGTGAACCCAAATCAGTTGAAATTCCTGATGCTCAATTACTGCCTTGGAGATACAGATAAAGACTTTGACAGACCCATGTCACACTGAAAGGACTATTTTGGTCCCAAAGATCCCCTTATGAGAATCAAAAGATTCTAGATTTATTCCAGGCGGACCACAGCAAACCTAGAGAGACGCCTGGAATTGACTTAATCTTAGAGGGGACAAAAGGAAAAGGAGAAGGGGGAAAAAGAAACAAAATTGTTCCTATGATTCAACTTCTACCATTTACACATCACACATATTTCTCCTAGTCCCAGTGACAAACGTATAAGGTAACTTTTATTCTTCTATACACCAGGAAACTAAGATTAAGTGACTCTCCCAAGGCCACTTATTTATTCAACAAATACTACGTAGCAGGAACTATTTCAGGTGCCACAAAACAATGGTGGGCAAGGAAAAGGGGAATTTTGTGGGGATTAAGTATTACTTTAATATTTTTCATACATTTTAATCATGACTCACAGTAAAAAAATACATATTAAACTATCACGCCATATATGCATCATAAATACACATACACAGTATATTTGAAACAAAGTTTTTACACACACAAGAACATATCTTTAGTGTGTGCTCTGATATTTTCTACTCTTTCTTTTTTAAAGCCCATTTGGTAATAACCAATTAAATTGATTTCATGATCCACTAATAATCACAATCCATAGTTTGGAAACATGATTCCAGCAGACTTAAATGGCATGGACTAATATTGATATTAATTAATATTTCCTCAAGGCCTGGGGAGTTATCTACATCTTTTTCAGTGTGTAGTTTAACGACAAGAAGAAAGGAGAAGCCGGAGGAAACCACCCATCTTTTCATAGCCTGAAATGGTTTGGTGGAGGCCATCTAACTCTGGCTTGGGTTTCCCATGAAGTTCAAATGCCATCTCTTCTTTGTAATAATAGTGTTTTATCTTTTTCCTCTAAACTTTTATTCTTACCACATAGGCTGACCACAGAATATCCAGGTCACTATGGGGAAGAAATGGACATGATTTCCTACAATTACGACTACTATATGCGAGGAGCAACCACCACTTTCTCTGCAGTGGAAAGGTGAGCCTTCCCAGAGGCTAGGAATTTACATCCGGGATTTTCCCTACTTTATTTCTTTTTTTTTAAATTTTATTTTATTATGTTATGTTAATCACCATCATTAGCTTTTGATGTAGTGTCCCTACTTTATTTCTACTTGGTCTAGAATTCACTGAGAGTTTCCTGGGTGGTGGAAGGCCATGGGAATGGAGCTATTCTCATAAACCCATTTCATGGAATAGCTCACCCTTGGAGATGAGGATGGGCTCCAGGCCACTCAGAGCAGAAGAGCCTCATCTTGGTCTCCCATGATGTTCTAAGCTCTGCCCTTCACTCGATTTCAAAGAGCACTTTTTCTGACCCAATGTTAGGAGGAGAGGGCAAAAATGGTTGAAGGACCATCCACTGTCAAATTGGAACCCCACAGATGCCGATACTGGTCTCTAGATGACCCCCATCTTGGGTTGCAAGGAGGGAGAGAAGAGAAGGGGAAGGGACTCCACCATACTTAGAAAGGAAAGGGGAGGATTTACATAACCTGAAGGCAAAACAAACTTCTTCCATCTCCTTTCCTAATAAGCTCCCCAATCCTATCCCAAACACTCAAAACAAAACAATAAGAACATGAGAACTCTTCTCCCAACTAGTATAGACAGAGGTGTCGATAAATTCAGGTATTTTCAGTCAGGTGATAATCACTTTACACAGCACATGAATTCCTGAAAAGTCACCAATAAATGTTTTGCAAACAAAAGTTACATTAACTCCTTAAATAATGGACTATGATGAATGTGAGTGTGACTTATCTTTCAGGGATATTTATGTTTTCAAATGAAATGACATCTCACCTAACCAAGTTAACATGACCCAGAATTTAAAAAAACAAAAACAGGGGCACCCTGGGTAGCTCAGTCGTTAAGTGTCTGCCTTCAGCTCAAGTCATGATCCCAGGGTTCTGGGATTGAGCCCCACATCGGGCTCCCTGCTCCCCGGGAAGCCTGCTTCTCCCTCTCCCACTCCCCTGCTTTTGTTCCCTCTCTCGCTGTGTCTCTCTCTGTCAAATAAATAAATAAAATCTTAAAAAAAAAAAAAACAATAGAACAAACATTAAATAGCTCTGAAAAGGCACACTACATGGTGCAGGCTCCACAAAGACCTTTATGTTTATTCCTAAGAGAACCCCTCATTTCTCACACATTAATCATTTTTATTTTAGATCCATTTTTTTTTTAATTTTATTTATTTATTCATGACAGACAGAGAGAGAGAGAGAGAGGCAGAGGGAGAAGCAGGCTCCCAAGGAGCAGGGAGCCCGATGAGGGACTCCATCCCAGGGCCCTGAGATCATGACCTGAGCCGAAGGCAGACGCTCAACCATCTGAGCCACCCAGGTGCCGTAGATCCATTTTTAAGTAGCTTAGTTAACTATTTTCTAGAAGCAGAAAACTAAAATATGAACAGGGAAAATAATACATAAAATGAAACTCTTCACCAGTGAGAATAGCTAAACGACATAACACGCACACAAAATATATTTAAGAAAAGGAAAGACTTAAGAACTCAAAACCATGGGAGCCTGGAGACAATTAGCAAGTGTGTCGCCCCCAAGGGCAGACTGGATAACAGTGCAGTAGGGCGTTCAGAATTCTTAACAATGTCTCCATGTCAATAAGAAAATTAGTTCTGCATTGCCTGGTTAAGAAGGCAAGAAGGAATATAATAAAGAAAGAATACCTTCCAAAATTACTACTGCATATATATATATATGCTTATATATATAATTGGATATTTTCACTGCATACATATCAAAATATCCAATTCCTATTGGCTTGAAATTTTTCAGTTATGTAGAATAACCCAGAACCTTGAAAAACTGAGCTATCATGTCATGCATTTGTTTAAAATGAACATGCCCGTGTGATTTTGCTGTTGTCACTAACAATCGGTGGCTTAAAGATCCACAGCATGTGTTCCTTCAGCTCTGCTGAAAGATGCTAAGGCCACAGCGTCGGAGAAATAGCATCAGTGCAGGACCTACTGGGCAGGGACTTTCCTTCCATATGCAAATCAGAGTGGGTTCCTCCTGGAACGGAGTTGCTCAGCCTGAGCACTATTGACATCCGGGACAGGTAAGTTCTCCGTTGCAGGAGCCTGTCCTGTCATACCAGATGTTTAGCGGTATCCTTGGCCCCAGTCACTAGATGGCAGTAGTAACCTCCCCTCCCCCATAGTTATGACAACTAAAATCCCCCTGGGGAGCAAAAGTGTCCCTGCTTGAGAGCCACTGGTCTGGAAAGAAATCAGACTGAGCCTGATTGAGTCCCTTGGTTCTCTTAGGACCAAGTTTAAAATTTGCTCAGCATCAATTAACAGTCTCTTGAAAGAGTAGTGTGAATGCCTGGCTTAAGAGCCTACTTATCTGTCTGTTGGTATACAGATAAGTAAGACTTGCCTACAGTAATGAAATTCATCTGATAAACATGCACGCCACCAATTTGCTAATCTCCATCTAAAAGAAGCCATGTCCTCTGTTGACAGCTGCAGGAATAAATACTAATACATAGTTGGACACCAAGACTCTCAGGACTTGTACCAGGAGACCCTCTTCCTAATCATTGTAAACAAATGACTTGGAGCAGCTGACTCAGAACTGCAAAGCCTGACTTAGGTTGACCAGCATGTCCCCTAGCTGCTGGCAAGAGGTATCTCCCAGAACGAAGTGGGGTCAGTCCCACGTTCCAGATCAGAGGCTGGAGGGAGACCTTCTCAGTATTGGTTGTTGTTTAAGATAAACCAACCTAGGAAGAAGCCTTGCAGGTTGAAAGGGAGAAGGGTAATTCAAAGATTAACTGACCCAGCTGTGCTTTGGAAGGATTTGCGTGATCATATATGGAATGACTCTTTATATTTACCCTTTGTTGGGACTTTGCAAAGGATGTGACAGCCGTGTCCTCTGATGGGGTTATGGGCATGTAGTTATGGGGGTATTGTAGTATAAGACGAAGAGCAAGATTTCAGTTCAACACACTTGGAATCTGAAGTTGTCACCTCATTATCTTAAAGAAGGTCACATGTTTCTCTGAGTCTGCTTCTCCACCTAAATCATGAATCATGGTGAAGATTAAATGAGCATACTGTACACCATTGCAATGCTTGATATACTGAACTCACTCAGAGCACAGTGGTTACGATCAACATATCGCCATTAAACGATGTTACACTGGAAGAACACCATGCAGAGTAGGCACTCGATAAATTTTTGTTCAGTGGGTGAACAAAGAACAATGGCTTGCCCTTAGCAAAGAACATTCATTGAAATGTATCCACACCACATTTTCCAAGACAGAGCAAATCTATGTACTTTCATACACATGCCTGACCTCTAGAACAAACATGCAATTCAATTTCTGTTACACATGAATGGCAGACATTTTCCTTTTCACTTTATGGGTTTTCAGAGTTGTTTCCCTTCACTTCATTTCCCTATAATAGTGTTTCCTGGAGGGCTACACATCGTATATAGTATGGAGCCTGGAACATGGTAAGTTCTCAGTAAAAGAATAAATGAGCAAATGGGTGGTCTATTTAAGAGAAGATTCTTTACAATGGAATGGAGACAGTGTCAAATAAATGCTTTTAATGCTGTTAACCTATTTGCAAATAGGTTACATTAACATACATTACATTAAGGAGTTAATGTAACTTTTGTTTGCAAATAAATGCTGTTAACCTATTTGTCCTTGAGGTACTCAGGGTAGTGCCAGCTGACCCCTTGTGACCAATAGGACCTCCACATAGCCAGGAACCTAATCAGTCACCTGCAAGGTGCCACCTGCACTGATCGAGGAGGGGTCTAGAACTCCTGACCTCACAGATGATTGATTACCTGATGGTTTTCCAGAGACTTACTACAGAACAAAGTGAGATCAGGTGCCCCTTGGGTTCCTAAGTTCTCCAGAGGTTGTTCACTGCTTTTCCCTCAGCAGCGATTTTTCTCACTGGCATTGGCTTTCTGACTCTCTCCCCACAGGGATCGCCAGTGGAAGTTCATAATGTGCCGGATGACTGACTATGACTGTGAATTTGCAAATGTTTAGATCTGCCACTCACCAAATCTAGGTGAGGGGAAGGGGGCCAGGAGACCTGAGGATGTCCACAGAGGTCAACATCAGCTGGAGCTCCGATGTGGTTTCTGCTGCTCTTTTCTTCTCCCTGAGGGGGTTAGTGGCTGCAGCACCAGCTTTCTGGGCCTTTCTGACTAGTATCACACTTACAATAAAATCCACAATGAAATCGTGTTCTCACTTTCAACATGTTCCATAGCAACCGTTTTATATGACTGACGATGGCTTTCTTGCACCCCGCATAGACAGTGTGCATGCTCACAGCCAGAAAAAAAGCCTGGTTCCCAGAGCACCTGTCACAGCTTTTGCTACCAAGTGAGCTACAGGCAAGGCTGGGGCTGAGCAGTATCTGTGAAGAGGTTCAGTGTAGTGGAGTGAACGGCAGAAATTGAAGAAAGTGGCAATCAATGAAGGTTCTTTGCAGGTCACTGTGTTTGAATGAAACCAAGGGTCCTCACCAAGCCTTGAAGGGACATGTGCCCACTCTCCCCCACCACATCAGCCATGCTTGTCTGGAAGTCCAAAGTGCAGAGTTCTGTGCTCCAGGAGGGAGGGGACAGGGAGGTAAAATGGAGGGATAAAAGGGTCTGGGCAGAGCTGAAAGCCTTAGCATTGGAAGAGTTTCCTGAGTTGAAGGAAGATTGTGGGCATACCCAGTAATGACAACAATGCAGAACTCAGAGAAACCTATGCAAATCTGGCTCAAGTCAGACAGGAACAAGGAGGAAGACAGAGAGCATGGGACTTGTGTTAGGAACTTAGAGGGAAAGAAAGAGTGGCCAGATTGCTTTGGGAATAGAAAGGGCGGTTTGAGTCACTGGCACCTGGAGATGTGTCCAGGACTCCCAGGAAGGCTAGCATATGCCTGCAGCCATGGGACTTACTGGCAAACTCACCTGAGAAAGGCTGCCCTGAGACTCCACTTCCCTTCTATGCATAGTTTAGGGGTGTTTTTTGCAGAGGTAACACTATCTTTCCTCCTTCTGTGATGTCTCTGTCCCCAGCCCTTTGTACTCTCTTCATCATAAAAGGAATAAAAATGTTAACATTCACTATGCTGCAAATGGTAAGGGTCAATTTTTGCTCTCTACCCCTCCCCTTTCCAATTATTCATCCCATCCATTCGGAAAATGTAGCTTAACATTGTGATTTGTGCCAAGTGCCGTGCAAGGCACCAGGACTACAGCGATGATGAGGACAGAGTATGGTTAGCAGGTCTAATGATTAAAACAGAAAGTGCTAAGTGCTTTCACTAAGGACTGGACAAAGGATAGAACTACATTTTTTGGTGTTGAACCTAACCTGATTTGCCATCAGCATCCTTCAGCCCTCCTCCTGCCAGCATGCCATGTGCATTTTTTTAATTATTATTATGTTCAATTAGCCAGCATATAGTACATCGTTAGTTTTTGATGTAGTGTCCACATGCATTTTTGACACAGGGAGCCCCTGTTCCCTTTATCCACACAGTTTACCTTTTGTTTTCAAATCTGTGCTGCCCCTCCCCCCTCCTCTCTTCCAGTGGACCCAGGAGAGCAGGTAGCCAGGCAAAACCACAGGGGTTATCACCCTTGTCATGCACCCCATCCAGGTGGCCAAGATGGTGAATCCACGCCAGTGCAGGTGCATTTCCCACGGTGATATCCTGGGACCGTGAAGGGGAAGGCAGAGCTAAGATGTCCTCCTTTGCCTCCTTTTTGCCCTATAAGGCAATTTTTCAAAATATGGCTTTCCTTTACTCCCTCCATTTCATCGTTTTCCACCTCCCTGGCAATTTTAATTTACAGCAAGCTTTACTGTGTTATTTTTCACAGAAGGAGACATTAATATTTTAGCAGTTGCAGCACTGGTGCAGGATGGCAGCCAGGAAATGGCCTTAGCTGGGTGTGTGGAGCACAGCTGGAAGGCAGCCATGAGGAAAACAAAGGGCCGGTGAGAGGGTCTACAGGGGAGGGGGGTGCCAGCTGGAGGGCTGCAGCTGGGAGGGGCAGTCCAGGGGACTGCAAGAGAGCAAAGCCAAAAAAAAAAAGACACCCGATAAAGCCATCCAGTAAGTGCCTGCACCAAGTAGAATAAATAGGTTTTTACTAAGAAAAAAACTATTCTTTACATATAGGCCGAGGACGATGATAGTAAAGACATTATCACCTTGGTTCAAATCTGAGTAATTTATACTTTATATCATATGCCAATCAGAAAGAACTAAGTGTCAGTCTGGGGCTAACTATGTTCTCATTGCTTCAATCTTTCTACTCACTTGCTCCATAACCTTGGATAAGCCACCTCCCCATTCTATGAGGACATTTATTCAGGTAACCATTGTGGTTTCTTGCAGTTCTGTGAACTCTATCGCTGGACCCAGATTGTTTAGAAGGACCCTTGCTAAGGCATTTTCTTCCAGATTAGAAACCTGGGATGAGAGTTGAAAAGTGAAGTCCGACCTCTGATTCTGACAGAGGATGGCCTTGTCCGATTAGACAAATCCCCAGGCCACCTTTTCCTCATCTTCCTGGTATGGACAGGAGCCCCTCTCCCAACAACTTCACAAGTGGTGGCCACACAAAGTGGGAAGAAGAGAGACAGGATTCCCACCTCCCAGGGACTATAGTCCTAATAAGGAGAGGTGAGAAAATGGACAATGAAGACACAGGTGTAGGAAAGTTTACTGAGGGAACCAAGTCCTGGTCCCGAGAGACGAAGAGAAAGTAGAGGTAAGTAGAAGAGCATGTGGGATTTTGTTCAGACTGTCCAGGCACAAATCCTGGCTCTATCACTTACCAGCTTAATGGCCTTGGCCCAGTCACCTACATTTCCCAGTTGATTTTCTTACCAGTAGAGATAATCATTGGACCTGCAGCTTGTTGTAAGGATTACATGAGATTTCATAGTGTCTCGCACATAAGGACCCAGTAAATATAGTAAGAGGAATTGAAATATTATTAGTATGTATTAGAAATAATGTTCCTCAGGTGAGTGGACGTTAGTAGAGGTCAACAATAGAAACGGTTTACCAAAGAAGTAGAACTTCCTTTTTGCTCTCATTCATTTCTTCATTTATTTAGCGACTGAATCAATAAATTTTTAAGTGCTTATCATATACCAACCACTGTTCCAGGCACTGTTCCTGCATTCCAGGGGATTATACATTAAGAGAGCCAGACAAGCAAACAGACCATCCAGGTTCAGAAATCAAGGATAAGCAGCATTTCAACAGAGAGTGGACAGGGGTTGGGTTAGAGAGGGGATTGTGGCATTTCAGGCAATGGAAACAATATGATAGAAGGCACAAAAAGAGGGATGGGCTAAGAAAAGAATCCCCAGGAAACCCTGACATCAACTGAGTCTAGAAGGCCCAACACACAGTCATAACGACCTAACGAGGGACTGGTAGCTCACATGAGCACCATAATGGATTCTACTGTTTGGGCATATGAATTGCAATATATTGTCTCTGTCTGGAACTCAGTTTTCAGCTGGGGCTTCCTACAAATCTAGGGAGTGGGAATTCATCAGGTGCTTCCTCCTCACCCCCCATTCCTTCCTCACACACTGTGCCATGGCCTGGGGAAGTCCTTTCTCATGCTGGGTCTTCATCCATACATACTGTCTTTATGATCAACTGTTTTGACCCAGACATGAAACAATATTTTTTTTAGTTCCTTCAGAAGAATGTATTCTTACAAAAGCATTAGTGAATGCACAAACTCAAAAAGGTAAACCTAGACATTCCCTTCTTCTATGGTTTTTTCTTACTTGCATGCAAACCCTTGCTATGCAGGAGTTTTCCTCTCTCTAGCTGGTCTCCATCTAGCCAGCTAGGCTCTCTGCTCACCCTCCCAATCATTCTCCCCCTATTAACAAGGGAAAATGTTGCTTCGAGCAGACCACACCCAAACAGGTGGGCCAACGCAACCAAGGTCATATATAGTCAATAGCATCCACTCTCCTTACAAAACCTCAAATCAATTTCAATTAAACCACTTCTGTTTAGTTCTGTTAAATTAAAGCACTTTGTTAAGAAGTGATAGCTGAACCTGGTTACCATTCTGGGATCCAGAGTCAGTGAGGTAAGTGAAACCTTTGCAAAACTGTGCCTAAGCTTTCGTGGGTGTGTTACCCTTTACTTACTGAACTGCTGAATTTCTTTTTATCAGTTTATTTCTTTTTGTAAAGCAAGGATAAGAAACACGCCTACTTCAAAAGTCATTTTTAATGACTAATAATAATATAGTCGCACATAGCTCAGATTTCATGGAACTTACAACTTTTGAACAGAATGGAATGTCCATTGTCTCCTTAAAACTAAAAACCAACCAAAATTCCTCATGTACTTTAAACCTATTTATTAGAGCCTGAGGTGCCTTGCTAATGCTGGAAATCTACCATTGTGTGACCTCCTTCTTCCCTCCCTGATGCACCCACAAGGAGCCAGTTATCAGTGTGAATGACTGTGTATCTGTATCATTGAAAAACACGGATTAGACATACTCAAATATGCAAAAAAAGTCTGCACTGTGGCATCACTCTTTATTTCTTTGTTCTTTCCTTTTCTGTCTTTCTCAACTTTAAAAAACAATTGCCATGGACTGTGTTCATAATCAAAAAAGAAAAGTTATTTCAATCTTATAGAACAAAAACAGGGGCACCTGGATGGCTCGGTCATTAAGCGTCTGCCTTTGGTTCAGGTCATGATCCCAGGGTCCTAGGATCGAGTGCCGCATCAGGCTCTCTGCTCCGGGGGAAGCTGGCTTCTCCCTCTCCCACTCCCCCTGCTTGTGTTGCCTCTCTCATTGTGTGTCTCTCTTTGTCAAATAAATAAATAAAATTAAAAAAAAAAAAAAGAACAAAAACAGTCACCAACTGTCAAACAGTTGAGCCCTAGGACCTCATTCCAGCCAAAAGGTGAGCATATGGTGACTTCATGAAAAGAGATTATAAAACCAAACCCTTTCATCTAACCAGCTGCCTGGTGGCTTATAATTTAATATGCAGAAGTACCTGCTCTTTCCAATACTGCTCATCATCCCCAGAGACAATGGAACAGATGTTCAGTGTGTCAGATGGCCAATAGGAAACTATAATTTAAAAGTCCTCCACTCACCAAAGTCCTTGGCATACTTCAGGGCCAAGCAGACACTCAGCTTCCTCAGAAAACTTCCTATGCTTTCTAAGACCTGCCCAGGGTTCCTTCTTTGCTTCCTCAGTACTATCTTCCTTCTCTCTCCTGTCTCTCTTGTTCACTGGTAGGTTTCTAATGCCTAGTGAGGTGTTTTACACATAGTGGACCTCCAAGACATATATTTTAAAATTAATCTGGATTTCTGATTGATTTTCAGTTTTTACTGGGAAGACCTCTATCGAAACTCTAAGCAATGGATAATTGAAACTATGTGTAAAAGCACTTTGAAAATTATGAAATTCTATTAGAAGGCATGGAATGATGATGATGGTTTTGATGAGGGTTAATGCCATCTTCCACTCCCTTTCTCCAGCATCATTAGGTGACCATAAATTTTATCCTTTTAAAGAGCTACTCACTAATGACAAGTGAGTTGGAAAACACACCAATCAGTCACAATTGTCACTTACATGTTCAGAAAGTATATGTCTCCATCCTAAGGACCTGAATGTCAGTTTTGTTGTTGTTATGACCTCTAAACTTCACTGAAATCAACATCTGAGCAGTCAGCACCTGACTTGGCATTTGGTGAGCGTGACATAGAGCCTTGCTAACACCCCTAAGGCGACTGGAACACTGAGGGAAAAAGAGGTTCAGGTTGGTTAAATAAGTGCAGCCCTGTATGAATTTAGATGCTGTTTTTAAGCCTAATGACACCATATGAGTCCAGGGGGAGGTAGAGTAGTGATTTTTGTTTGATATACTTCCTGCACAACAAATATTTAATGAATAAATAAAAACAGAGCCCTAAGACAAACCCTAACATAGATTATGACTTCATGAATGTAGACTATATGACCCTTGCTTTTTGTTGTTAGTCCCACTAAGAGTTTACTTGTGGGCTTAGCTGCTATTTAGCTGGACCCAAGCAGTAAGAT